TTCAATAAGATACTGTCACTAACATACTCAGTGATTAAGAGTGATGTGCAAAAACATTTGCATCACCTGGATTTCGAACCCACATTTCACCTAGCCGGCGTCTCGTGCTGAATCGTTGCACTTCACACGCGCCCCATGATGGGTGAAATGAGGGTTCGAATCCCGCCTGACACAAGTGTTTTTGCACATTACTCTTTATCATTGGGTATATTATAACATCTTACCATCGCTCAAAGGCTGTCAAATAAAGAGAGTACTGTCACTAATGTTACGAAATCCAGTAACTTATGTCATCCGCAGCATCTAAGCTGCTACGTGTTCACAAAAGTAATGTTTACGTTCGCCACATAGAAAAGGTACCTAATGTGTTTCGCCAACTTGAGTAATCAGATATAATTCTCCTAGTTCTGTCTTATGGCCCAGTCGTCGTGCGAGTTGCTTATAACTTGCTCTTTTTACTATTATTCTCGGGTTTTCTCAGGTATGCCGAGAAGTTCCATGTTATACACGATCTCGTACAACATTCCAGTAACTTAATGTAGCAAATCCAGTCTACATTAGATGAATCCGTACAAGATCAAGTACGGAGAGCTTGTAACATGATGTGATACTACCAGAGTAGGATATCCACTTCGTGAGTTCTTTCGCATTCAGGACAAGTACGTAGAGTTTTATGGTCGTCGATCCACAGCTATACATCGTATAATTACTCAACACATAGCGTAAGAACTAACCTACTCAAAGTTCGTTATGCGAAAGAGATTCATGAAACCCAGTGACCTACTTAGAGCAGTCCGGGTAGTGAAGAACAAGATACACATCATCATAACATTTTATTTGTGGGAGCGTGCTGTTAGGGTTTAGTTCGATAATTTACCTGGAGATGGATTCATGAGGATTTATAAACCTTGCCATTTTATCGACTCTTTTCTGATACCTCATCTTAGAACTGCAAATATTCTGATAGACTGTTCTAGACCCTTTTCGAGCTCTGATATGTATCAGTGGCTTGAGAACGCTCCAGCAGTCTCATGATCAAGATTTACTCACCAGAATGTGTCAACACAGCTTGTTCAATAGCGCCTACCAAGTCGTTCATTTCCAGTGCAAAAGCGGCTGCTAACGCGTCTGTCAACTGCAAAATGAACTTTTGAAAGCCTGTGATAAGTAGAGGAAAGGATATAAGGAAATTAGACGTATCATCAAGCTTCTTGACAAATTTATTACATTTTGAAAGGAGTAGTAACGAACTTTGTCAGTGAAGAGTTCAACTTTTGTTCCATACATCCAATCAATTGCAATGTTGAGTCCACACGATGTGAAGTTCTTTTGCACTGCTTTCAGATGATCCAAGTGTAACGTAGTTGCAGCACATAAAAGATGTGAAGACTGACTTATCAATGATTAGTTACATAATGATTACTCATTACATTTGAAGGAAATTTCGAAATCTCCTAGCTAATATACTTTGAACAATGGTAGTTCCTAGCCGACACTGTCAGCGAACCGTCTGTGTCAGAACAAGTAGATTAAAGCCGAGTCTAATCTTCAGAGTCTGTTAATAATGCTTACTTTCACTACCACTTTAGCTGAAATGACGAATGAGTTTCCATTTACCATCGAAATATATTGACTTAGTCTAATGGCTTACTTTTAATGATATAGCTCTAGGTTGTAGGGATTCTGAAGGCATATTTTGTTTTGACAAATAATTAGTTCTCCACCTTAATTTACGTGCTATTTCAAACTACTAGTAGCTGCTAATTTGAAGTATCTAAGTAGTTCTAATCGTGAAGAAGTGACATCTGATAAATAGAAGTAGTACTCAGAATGTGGAGATGACAAATTGTTTGTAGTGTGGAATGCAAAGTCTCACGTTACTAGTTTATAAGATATAACCTATGAATCAATCAGTGTCGATTAGCCTCTGACGGATCTGTCATGTCGTAGACTCCATTAGGAGCCGTAAAATTGGCAGAATAAACGTTTTGTCTACATACTTGTAGAAGCCTAGTGACTTAGTGATTGTGCTTTCATCCTTCTGGACAAGTCTGTTAGCAGGTTATGCGACCCTGCAGGAAGAGCTGATTTCCTTTATGGCGTAGTACTGATAATGACGTGTCCATTGCAGCACGTCACTGATTTCTGTGTTCTATGTACTCTTTTTCAGTTGGCTGCAGAACTCAAGATTTGGTCATTATAACTTCTCTATCAATAATTGCACTGAATAGAGGTAGAGCTAACAAATTCATTGTTAAAGCCATTTATCATAGTCATTCGCTTCATACAGTTGATACAACTGTGATAAAGTTAGAATTTAAGCTGAGGCTTTCGAAATTTCTCGCTTGATTTTGTTATGAGTCTGATTGCACTCAATCCAGTCGGTTGAGTGAGATGATTAATCCACCAGATATCATTTTGTTACCTATGAACTGTCGGTTACATGTATGAATTATCCCTTTGAGGACGTGGAACGTTTCGTCCCATACCGCGCGATGTCAAATCTCCTCAGCTATCGTAATGGCGGCGCCGCGCCTCATGAGAAAGGCGGCGTATCCTCGTGGGAGACAGACGTCAGACAGCATGATAGATGCGAGGAGACGAACTAAGGCTGTGGGGTGAATTTCCGTCATGAAATGATGGGGATTCATTGAGAAAGCTTCTACAGAGATGATCTTAGTAGAAAGAACATCTATCTCTTTCCTAGTCCATCTACATTTCTTATGTTTCCAGCGAGAGAACTACATCGTGAAATGATAACGATAGTAATAATGATTATGATAGCGATAATGATAATGATAGTGAAAAGAATGATGACAGTGATAGAGGTGATAGTGGTAAAATGACAAAGAGTGCAGCAATGAATAGTGTTCATCGATTAGATCGATCGAAAAATTCCATTGTATTACAACATGCAAATTCATCTTTGACGAACAAGGTTAATTTTGAAAAAATGTCTTCACATAACATTGTCGAACGTACTGTGCTCTGCTTTTGTTCTCACTCTTAATTTTCTCACGGTCTCAATCAGCTACTGTAACGGCGGCGTCTTATATAGTGAGAACGAAGGCTCTCGTGACAACGGAGATGCACGAAGCTTAACATTCTTCGCGTAGTGACGCATGTGCCTCCTCGAGTGTCGCGCATGCGACGGCGCGTTGCCGCCTGCTTATCAACGGTGATTGTCAAAGGGTTATCTAATAAATTCATTTCCCTCTGCATGCCTGGCCGATTTGGTTGACATAGGTTGTTTTGAAATCACGAAGAGCTTTATAATCTTATTTTGGAACCTTTTTAACATGTAATATTCGTAGGGAGTATTTCCAGATTATATCACCGAGCTCTGAAGTGCTGCAGTATTCTCAGCGCTAGGCTTTCGAGTGGAAAGGTAGATTTTACTCTGTTTTTGTTGAATTTCATAGCGCAACGTTGACTCATAGAAAATCTTTCGGTAGATAGTGGTAGGTATGCATTTTCTTAATGACTGTATCACCTGGATATATGCTTTATAACTTACAATCGGCATCGAGCCTGGTAAGTACTGGTGAGCTTTTCAACATCTTTTGATGAATTTTGAAAACTTTTCCATCTAACTTCAAACCTCTATATGCGTATTGGTTCCGAGGCAGCTTTGTCTGAAACAAGTTCAACAAAATTGAAATATAATTAGATACATGAAAGCAGAATTCTTCTGCATGTCATTTATGGTGACTGGACAAGAACATTGTTCGTTTTCAGTGATCTTAGTTATAGCCAAAGGCTGTGTTTGTGGAATTATAAGAAAATGCTCACCTTCAATGGATTTTCGATGACTATGGTAGAATTTCGGTGTTCATTGAGCTGGAGAGTCGACCACTCAGAGTTGCGTAAAGGAATAAATAGAACACCAACGCACATCTTCATGGCTTAATGACAACATGCTTGTCAGATAAGGATAAACTAAATTTATTGTTATTATACATGGAAATACGGTAGTATTATAATATCGAGGCAAATTATTCGATCCTTTAAAGATAGGGTTTTATTTCACTTCTTCCTCAGACTCTTAGTAATCATTCGATATCGTGAATCTCGACAATTCTTACTATGCTTGTTTCTTGGAAGGGACCTCTAAGTACAGTGTAAGAGCGAGAACAAAATTGAATTTCACACTTGACGCTCATCTGCGCATTTCTTGATTTGAATTCGCATAAATCTCAAGGTCTCCGAAGAGTTACCGTAGGAAACTGCGTGCTATCAGCTTACGCTTTCATTTTCGTTTTATATTGCCAAATAAGCTCTCTACTAAGCCTCAACCTAAACAGTTTAGGCTCAGGAGTGCAAAACATAGTTTTCTTTCCACTCTTCTAGCATTCTGTGAAAATCTGATAACATAATAACATGTTTTGAGCCTTTCATGAGGTCTGTACGGCACCCATACTGTACTAAACAGCTGCTGTTTGCTCTTACGAGCTCCTCAGAAGAGTACGTATGATTTGTTTTGTGAAAACCTTATCAAAAGCCAAGCTTGCTTCGCAGTCACCTGAATTTATGCTGTTAAATAACTATTAAATCCGTTAACAAATCCCAAATCTTTCGTCTCGGTGCCTTACTGCGAATGTGCTAATCCCATCTATACAGCTATCATACATCCCAGCCGACAAAGCTGCGCGAGTGCGATACTCAATCCATTTCGCTGCCACCACACTGAGGGGTTTTGAAGAACAGGCAATGTATGGATCGCGAGACTTCAGCTATTAAGTATTAGCAAAAATCTGAGAAAAAAGCAAAGGAGGCCTTGTATCCAAAGGACCGAAAAGTGCGAAATAGCACAATTGTGCTGAATATCCATTTTATAGACCATTAATAGTTTAAGGCAACAAGGAACCAGTTATCAGTATAACGCAGCTATAAGCAAGCAAATTAGTATGCTGCTCTATCATGAATAGTCTTTACTCATTCACTTAAGGACATTTTCCAGCAAAACTGGATGTACTTATCAAACTGGACGAAAAACAATGTGTCGCTAGCAGGGATCGGATCTGTGACTTTGGGCTTGTTAAATTCACGCTCTAACCGACTGTGCTATGGCGGCCGTGGTCTTGTACCCACAGAAAATAAAACCGCTTGTGTTCCTCGTTGATTTCCGGTGCGACAGGCGGCGAGATCGAGTGGTGGTGCCGAGTGTAGGTCGCTACGATGACAATGTCGTGATATGTCAATGAAATTTAGATCCTCATCATCACTGAAATCGTCAACAAACAACAAAGTATGATGAACAAGACTTTATCAAGGAAATTTTTGACAGCTATCGAATGTATATTGAAATTCTTCAAAAAAAAGCCATGTCTAGAGAAAAGTGTTCGAGTGCTAACATGATCTTGCTTCTACTATAACAGCGCAATAAATAGGCTGTCTCAAAAATTATACACATCATTGAGATTTCCGTGGTTTAAGCTTTCGAATAATTAGTGAAATTTCAAGCCCAATCAGAAAACGCATCAGTTTCTAAGGGGTCGCAATAGTGTGCGGATCAATGGAATGATTTCTCATTTCCTATGTCATGAGCAAATCATGCAGTTGATCAAACAACGTTGTGCTCACATGGCTGATAAATCGATAGATACTTCTGTGCTCGACTGTTTTATGAGACCTTGCTCAAAACAGTATAACCAGATAATATATTTCGATATTTTCATGGCGTTTGCTATGGCACTTACAAAATGCTAAACATGTGTTTCGGCCTTTCAGCCTCATCAGTAGCACAATGTCGTTCGTCTGAGCCAGTTCCCCTTGGGGAAAAAGTCCTTCATATAGAGAAATCGCACATAATGTTTACACGCGCCGTCAAGTGATGAAACTCACCAAACAGGAAGTGTTGCATACTCGATTGCTGTTAAGTGGTAATCGTGTAATATCACATTTTTCGTTTCGAGTGGTTTCTTGAGACCACGCTCAATTTCAATGTGCCTGATACATATTTTACTTATTCACGTTATAATTGTAATCCTCATTTTCCCAGAGAACGATTGCTTCAATCACGCCAAATGGTCCACGTTCGGAATTTGTCAGGTAATTAATGGTTCCCTGAAGGGTGGCATTTATTAACATTTTAACATTGTCGGCTAACACTCCCTTAATTGTATCTACCTTTAGAACTTTTCAGATTTTGATAGTGGTAGATTAGAACTGATGTTCTCTTCAATCGCAGAAATAGACTTCAATGAATATAGATAAGCTGTTTTGTTCGTCTACAAATCCATTCCAAAAAAAGGTAGAGTGCCATACCTCGGGTAATTATTGTTAGGTTCAAGGGAGAGGGGGAGGGGCTGAACCTGTCGATGTGATGTAGAAAAACGGGCATATCGGAAAGATTTTCTGAATTTCTTTCGTCTTGCATTTAATAAGATAGTTTCACTAATGTTGCAAAATCCATCAACTTGAGAAATCTGTGTTATCTCGAATGCCATGGGTGGACAAAAGTAATTTCTGCGTTCGCCTAATAGAAAGTCTATCTAGTGAGGTCTGTTAAGTCGAGAAACAGAGAGAAAGAGCACAGTTTTTCTAATTCTTCAGTCTTATTATTTTTGAAGAGGGCTCTAGCAGACAAAATCTTCGTGGAATACGCGACCTCAGACCACATTCCAGCCAATCAACCATTTAGGGATGTCTATAGAAATCGATGCGGAGAGTGGATTGCGCAATTTTCGTTGTTTATTCGAGGTTTTTCTCCTCATTTGGCAAGCAATTTCGGAACTCTTGTGTTACTTTGATAAAACGAGGTATATTCTACTCGCTCATATGCTTTTGGTTTAGCTATACGTGTCTTCTATAGAGAAAAACTCTCGTTTACTACGCAATCGTTCCGAATTTGATATTCAATTAAATGTATTGCATTGTACAAAGAAAATCACAAGGAAAATCTTCAGTTTTATTCTAACCAAGTATTATACAAGACCCAAGAGTCATTATGGTTGATAAAAATTGAAGAACAGCAAAATTTATCAAAAATTATTACGCATGCTGTATTCAATACCTGTTCATTGTAAACTCTCACTTTAAGTTAATTTAAATCAAGAATTCGTTTATTTACAATTATTCAGAGTTGACGTAAGTGAGAAAAGGTTGAGTACTTGCGGAAGTGGAAAAAGTCTGAGCGGGAAAGGACAACCGTGTTTGAATAAAAGACTTAGAACGTCGGCATTGTGCAAACTATTGGTCAGAAATACGTGTCCTCTGAGAAGTATTCTCGGTATTTTCCCCTATACTCACCCATATTCGGAAAAAAGTATATTTTTTATTCCCCTTTGAGGTTTTAGCAATTATTCGACAGCTTGAATATTGAGAATTTGCAGGGTGTGCTTTGTTTTCCAAATGGATTTTACATTTTTGTATAAAGGTGAAATAAAAATATTGGTACATATATTTTAGACCCGTATCGGACGATTACGGTTGAAACGATGTGGTTCTATGCCGGCTTTGACCATCTTCGTTGCTTACGCACCAACATCAAGCTATAACGAAGGCGAATTCGAAGCGTTCTATATGGACCTCGAAAAATTCTTGAGAGAAGATCATACATTCTTCAAGGTCATTGTCGGAGATTTTAACGCAAAAATTGGACCTAGAAGAACGTCTGAAGAACGTCACATAGGGACCCACGGACTAGAATGGAATGAACAGGGTGAGAGGCTATCCGAGTTTATCATGACGACCCAAACCATCCATGGTAACTCGCAATTCCAAAAGCCTCTCTCTCAGCGATGGACGTGGGAGTCTCCCAGTGGAGAGTACCATAACGAAATAGATCACATCATAGTAAATCGAAGGTTTTGCCTGACCGACGTCGCTGTTGTTCCCAAGTTCTACACGGGATCAGATCATCGCCTCCTTCGCGCAACATTCCGATTTTCGAGGAGAGGAGAGAAAGCCGCTAAATTCAAGCAACGAAGTCCCAGAACTACCATAAACTGGAATGTATTCAAATCATTAGTCGGCTCTTGGGAAGATACCGTTGTCGACAACATCGACGAAGAATACGATCGACTCGTTGAATATCTTCACGTTAGCGCTAAAAAAGCCGAGAGTCCTAAGATCACGAAGAGACGCTTGTCTCCGCAGACACTCGAGCTGATACGTCAACGTGGAATCGCACGAGCTGCAGGCAACCGAAACCTTCCGTCCGAACTTGCGAAACGATGCAGAGAAGCGATAAAAGAAGATCTTAAAGAGAGAAGAGCAGCAGCTATGGCAGAAGCTGCAGAAGCTGGGAAGAGCATTCGCAAAGCCCAGCGAGGCTTCGCCAACTATAAGACCAAGATGATTGCACTCCGATACCCTGACGGGACACTTACAGCTTCCAGAAGGCTATGGAGAAAATCATCTACCAATACTACTCGGATCTCTTCGCTAGCCATGTTCTCTTACCGTCATATAAATTGAAAGAGGACTAATATGTCGTTCCACCGGTCCTTCCTTCCGAAATCCGACATGCTATATCGTCGGTGAAAAACAGAACAACACCCGGTCCAGACAGGATTAGACCAGAACACCTGAAGAACCTGCCGCCAGTTCTCATCAACACCCTGGCTCGGCTCTTCACTCGCTACCTGTCAGAATGCAAGGTCCCTATTCAATGGAAAACCAGCAAGACCGTATTGTTGTTCAAAAAGGGAGACCTTCACGACATAGGCAATTATCGCCCAATCTGCTTGCTGTCCGTTGTCTATAAACTCTTTACTCGAGTCATCCTGAACAGGATTGACAGAACACTGGACGAAGGACAGCCATGCGAACAAGCACGGTTCAGAAAAGGATTTAGTACCATGGACCACATCCACACGATCACAAGACTCATTGAAGTTTCGCGAGAGTACAAACAACCACTCTGTCTCACTTTTATCGATCTGAAAAAAGCCTTTGATTCAGTGGAAACAGAAGCGGTTATAGAGGCTCTGGATAACCAGGGCGTCCCTACTCGGTACATAATGATCCTTCGTGAGCTTTATAAAGATTTCACGACCAGAATATCTCCATTCTACAACAATATCACCATTGACGTAAGAAGAGGGGTTCGACAAGGCGATACAATATCGCCAAAACTATTCACTGCCACCCTACAAAACGTCATGCGAACATTAGAATGGGACGAAATGGGAGTGAAAATTGACGGTCGACAATTAAACCATCTTCGCTTTGCTGACGATATCGTTCTCATAACACCAAACATCAGCCAAGCGGAACGAATGTTGACTGATTTCGATAACGCCTGTGGAAAGATCGGTCTTCAACTGAATCTAACGAAAACAATGTTCATGAGGAACGGATGGGTTTCTAATGCCCCATTCACGCTCAACGGAACGACAATTTCCGAATGCTCCAGTTACATCTATCTAGGTCGTGAAATCAACATGATGAACGACCTAGCCCCAGAGTTGAGCAGGAGGAAACGAGCGGCTTGGGGAACGTTTAAGAGCATCGAAGATGTAGTGAAGAGGACAAAGAACATCCGACTCCGTGCCCACCTTTTCGACTCGACAATTATCCCTGCCCTAACGTATGCAGCAGAAACCTGGTCGCTACGTAAGCAGGATGAAAGATCACTTGCCGTTATCGAACGCGCAGTCGAAAGGTCGATGCTAGGAGTATCTCGTATTTCGCAAATGAGACAAAGGATCCGAACTTCCGACCTACGTCAACGATCGAAAATCAGAGACGCCGTTCTACACGCCAGGATATCGAAAATAAGGTGGGCCGGACACGTGATGCGCTTCAACGACAACCGATGGACGAGAGCCGTTACCGACTGGATTCCTCGGGACGTCAAGCGCTCTAAAGGAAGACCACTGACCCGTTGGTCCGATTTCTTCACGAAAGCGATGGAAGAAAGATATGATGCTCAGCGAATTCCTAGAGCAAGGAGGACCCACTGGGCTACTCTTGCACGCGATAGGGAAAAATGGAAGAGTTGCTGGTACCCGCTCGAGTCACTCGACGATCAACGGGACGACAGGTGATACAGGTGATACAGGTGATATTTTAGACCGCGACCAATATTTGAGCCGATCTTATTCGCTGCTTAGGGACTTTTCGCAG